GACTCAGCATTATAACGCTGTGACTCAGCATTATAACTCTGTGACTCTGAAAGCCTTTTTTCTTGAGCTTTTAGCTAGAATTTAGTTAATTTTAAATGTTAGTAAGCCTTGTACTATATTTTTAGCCTATTACTAGTTTTTTGTTACTTTTAGCTTCTAGCTCACTTTTTAATCTACACCAACATATAGCTAAAGTTTTGCTACTTTTAGCAAGCCCGTTACTACTTTTATGCCTAAACTAGCATTTTGCTACTTTGGGCTTTTAGCTAACATTTCACTTTCTTTAGCAAAAAGCTCCTGTTCTGCTACTTGTAGACAGCCCTTTGCTCCTTTTAGCTTCTAGACAACCTTGAAATCTATACCAACCTGTAGCTAATGTTTTGATATTTTCAGCTAGCCTTTCACTACATTTAGCTTGCCTGTTATGACTTTAAGATTTTAGCTAGCGTTTTGATCCTTTTGGCTTTTAGCTAGCATTTTGCGTCCTTTCCCTTTTAGCTTGTGCTCTGCTTCTTCAACCTTTTAGCTAACTATTCGGCTTCTTCACCTAACCTGTATAAATAAAGGCTGAATTGAGTTTTAGCTTAAACAACTCAGTTTTAGCTTCTTATGTAAATTTTACTGAAAAAACATTCACTTGCTTTTTCACAGGAAAAGTAGTTTCTTTAGTTTCACATTGTGGCTGTTTGTTGGTCCTCAGCTGCAGGACCAGTATGGAGGTCCAGTAAGGTTCCTCGGTGGTTCTGATCCCTCATTTATCAGGGAGTAGAACCTTCTGCTCACCTTTGATCCTCTCTGGCTTGTAGGTGCTCCTCATGTTCTCCAGGATGCTGCTGTAGAAGTTCTGGGCCAGCTCGGCGGGCATGGCGGAGTGGAAGTCCGGTTTGTTCCCCTTCAGGATGCACTGCAGGGTGAACTGACTCACACACAGAACCTCCAGGTCCTGGTCCATCACGCTCCGACTCCACGCTCGACCGCTCTCGTCCTCAAACAGGCGCAGGTTCAGGATCTTCCGGACCCTGGAGAAACCGAGTCCACACCACAAGGTGAGGAGGAACCAAACCGTTACGTCCTGATCCAGTGTTTTCGACCATCCAGACATTCTGGAATCTTCTGAAGTGTTTGTTATGAACAGTTTTTGAAGATACTTCAAGAAACAAATTCTTAGAAACAAATAAACAAACAAAAAAAATCCAAACATGAAGACTGATTGAAAAAAGAGGCGTGAGTTCTGGTGGCGACGGATGGATGATGGATGGATGTAAATGGTAAATGACTGCACTTATACAGCACCTTTCTATCTTATCAAGACACTCAAAGCTCTTTACAACAATCTGTGCCTCATTTACCCATTCATACAGCTCTATACTAGATCTCTACAAAGCTAATTGAACAAATCATTCTAAAGAGACTAATCAGAGCTTTATCACATTCATACACTGATGGGACACACATCGGAGGCAACGAGGGGTTCAGTGTCTTGCCCAGGGACACTTCAGCATGTGACTGCTGGTGGATTCGAACCCCCAACTCTTGCATTGGAGGATGACTGCTCTAACCACTCAGCCACAGCCCATGTATGGATGATGTACGGATGGATGGATTATTAAGGATGATGATGGATGGACAAAGGATGATGGTTTGATGGTGGATGGATGAAGGATGATGGTTGGATGGAGGATGATGTTGGATGGAGGATGACGATGGATGGATGG